TCCACTACTCACCTTTGCAATTATTCACTTCACTGACAGTATCTTGACCTCTCTCTATACTTCCACCATTATTCGCGTCTTCCTATTAAAAGGTAAAATTCAGTGGAGAAAAGGTAAAAAATCTGTGGAGACATTTTATGGAGTGAAAATATTCACATTTGAAGGGAAAATTAAAGATCTCAAGATTTTTTTCCAATGTTGCAAATAGTTTCTTATCTTTTGCTTCGTTTATAAATTGAATTCTGAAGTTCCGCGTGAGAGCATCTAAAATAATTATTCTCTGTACAAATATGACAATGTATATTTCTGGGGGAAAAAAGCCTGAAATTCTTTTCAGTGGAGATGTGAGAGAGGTATCACTGCTGTTCAGTCAATTTGAGTTTTTAAACTGAAGTTTCAGTAATACATTTGAAAATGAAAAATAGATATTACTTTTCCAGTGAAGTATTTTTCTGTGAAAAGTAAAAGGAAAGAGTTGAATTTAAGGCAGCAATAGATTCATTTAAAGGATGTTTGTTTGTTTGTTTCTTTGTTTGTTTTTCATGTAATGAAGTACGGGAAAAAAATTAAAAATTAAAAATGCCAGGTTCCATTTAAAGTAGCACAGGGACATAGAATCAGAGACATAGAATCATTTTCAATTGAAAAACAAGCAACATTTCAAATCATGTTTCTGCAGATAAACAGATAAGCTATTTTTTTTTTTTTTTTTTGCTTCTTTTGTTTTGCCTTGTTTTAATGAGAAGAATATATTCTCAAAAATCTAGTTAACACCTAGCATTGCCTTTGGTAATAGCACTTAATCTTTCTTGAAAGATAAAACACACATTATATAAAGAACCTTCTTACAACATCTCAAAGAGGACTGAACAAACTTGGACCATAGCCCTACAAGATTTTTTACAGAAAATTACATTAAAGAGATCACAAATTATCTATTTTTGTTTGTTCTTCCTAACTTAATTCCAGACTTGTTTTTTTGCTTTACTTTAATTTCCCTACTCATTTGGAAGACTGACATGAATGACTGAGAAGTAAGGTAGATTTTATTTTTCTGACTTTATTCTGGAGTTCTTTATATGTTTGGTACACACACAGGTAGGGAGCTAAACACCACACAGGTGTTCACTCAGTCCCCTCCAGTGTGATGAGGGAGAGTCAGAAAAAAAGTAAATCTTGTGGGTCGAGATAAAGACAGTTTGATAGGACAGAAAAGGAAGAGAAATTAAAGAACATACAAAACAAGTGACGCACATAGCACCAGCTGACTGATGACCAGACTCTGAGAAGCAGTCAGCCCCTCCCAGCCAACTACCCCTATGTGTCTTTTTTTCAACATGTCATCACATAGAATAGAATATCCCTTTGGCTAGTTTGGATCAGCTGTCCCCTCCCAGCTTCTTGTGCAGTCTCGGCCTCCTTGCTGGTGGAACAGTATGAGAAGCTGAAAAGACTGACTTAGTGTAAGCACTGCTCAGCAGCAATTAAAGCATTCCTGTGTTATCAATATTATTCTCATACTAAATTCAAAACACAGCACTGTACCAGCTACTAGGAAGAAAACGAACTCTATCCCAGCTGAAATCAAGACAATTAAATATGTAAATTTATCATTATTGGACTCATAAACATCTTGAGTGAAATGAATTGAAATTTTACAGACACAGAGGTAAGTAAATTTATCTTTGACATCAGATCTTGGTTTGGTAGTCATCTTCTGCTTAATTGCCTGATGGAAATTCAGCCTTGGATGGTTTAGTGATTTCTCTCTATTTGAATTCTGCCAAAAATGAATTTGTATTGATTAGTGTCAACACTGGGAAAAGGTGATCTTTCAGGCTTACAATTTTAGCTCTGTATTTTGGCAGATGCTTTGCAAGAACACAGGGTTTCTCATGTCCCAGAACTTTCATGGATACTTGTAAGACATTATGTCTGCATATTTATTTAGGAAAAAATATAAGATTTGTGATCGTAGTCCAATAGACAGTATTTGAACAACTATAAACCTACATAATTTTGGTAGGGAAGAAACAATATTTGGTGCCTAACAGAGGTATGTGACTCCTTCATTTCCAGTTATTGTACAGAAATTCAGTGATCAGAGTTTAAAGACCTGATTGGGAACGTGTGAACGTCAAACAACGTTGTATGCATTGGAGTTAACACCTTGTAGTCTATCACCAGCTGCTACACCATGCCAAAAGAAAAACCAAGCCCAAAAGCAATGCTACAAAATTATCTTTCCCTAATTCCCTGCTTAGAATCACAGTATCACAGAATATTGTGAGTTACAAGGGACCCACAAAGATCATTGAGTCCAGCTGTTAAGTGAACGGCCCATACAGGGATCAAACCCATGACCTTGGTGTTATTAGCATCATGCTGTAACCAACTGAGTTAATATCACAGTTTAATCCAAGAATAGATGTTTATCATATTCTAAAGAATTTAACTTGGTAAATAACCTATAAAACTTATGAAGTAGCATGAATCTAAAATACATAGACCTCTCACTCTGTTGCATTTTAATCAGGTGGACCAGACCCCAAAACTAGTAGTTTTGTAGCTGCATTAGGTCTTTTCATACAAAAACAAATACATAATGCAAAGAAAACTACCGAATACTGTAATTGTTTAAAAAGTTAAATTAGTTCCCAGTTATTTGGCCAATATGATACAGAATATGAAAGCAATGTATTATTTTCTTTCTATCTTGTTGTTTTCCTTAAACTTAGATCAAAAGCTTTAAGAACTGCTTCAGATTTATCTCCAAATACTACCATCCAACAGTGTATCATGATGTTAAGACTCGCCAAGGTTTTAGGAATACTATTGGGGTGCGGGGGAAGAGTTGTACACGTGTTGTTGTTTTGTTTGTTAAGGGGAGCACATAATCCATGATGAGAAGGAACAGCCTGTGGAAATATCTATTGCTGATAGAATAAAATGCCTTTAAACATAATCCATTCACTTTTTAAGTCTTTGAAAATTTAGTTTTCTGAGCGAAGTAGCTGGTAGTTAGAATCATAGAATCTCTCAATTGGAAGTGACCAATAAGAATCATTGAGTCCAACTACCTGCTACTTGAAGGACTACCTAAAGTAAATCATGTGACTAGGAGCATTGTCTAGACACTCCTTGAACTCTGGTAGGTTTGGTACTGTGACCACTTTCCTGGGGAACTTTTTCCAGTTACCAACCACCCTCTCAGTGAAGAACCTTTTCCTAATGTCCAACCTGAACTTTCCCTGATGTCACCTCATGCCATTTTGAGTTCTTATCATGGGTCACCAGAGAGAGAAGATCAGCACCTCCCTTAAGGATGTTGTAGGCTATGATGAGGTCACCCCTCATCTTTCTTTTCTCCCAGCTAAACAAACCAAGTATCCTCAGCCACTCCTCAAAAGTGTTGCCATCATGACCTTCCAACATTTGGTCATTCTCCTCTGGACCCAATCTAATAGTCCAACGACCTTATATTGTAGTAGCCAAAACTGCACACAGTGCTCGAGGCAAGGCTGCACCAGCACAGAGTAGAGTAGAATAATCTCTTTTACTGTCCTCTAAGAACCTGTAGGAACCTCTTTAACTTTACAGAGTTTCTAATTGTTTTTATTTACTCAGAAGTAAGGTGGTAACAGACAAGTTTGCAATTTGATTCAGCTAGATAATCACTGTTACTATTCACAAGGTCTAAATTATGTTTCTCTTATTCTGTAACAACTCATTCTCTTTACCTCACATTCAGTAGCTTTTCATTGTTTGCCAGAAATTAATTTTAGAATAAAAGTAACCAATGTCTTAAAAAGTACACCTCTATGGCTCTTTCTAAAGCACAGATATTCTGTTTCTTTAATGAAGAAGTGCCTCACAATGTTATCAGTCTCTATTTTTATCAAACAATTGATTTTAGTTCTTACAAAACTGAAAAATTGTAAAATGTTCTTAAAATTCTGAGGTTTATGTATTAACATTTCTGGTTTTTTTTTCATCTCAGTTGAAAGAACTGGAACCTTTTATTTTCACAGTTTTTAATCTATCTTAATCCCTTTTAATCTATTTTAAGAACCAGTTAATAATGACTTGTTAATAATAATACTTAGCAATAACAATCTTCTGTTCAATATGTATTAGCACCTGATAAGTACCTGTTTTGTGCTATAAAAATAAATTCATTTTACCGTTTTTCTTTTGAAATCTGAGGAACATTTAATGCAACCTTGACAAAACCTCTATGTACTTGTGTCTGAAGTATAACTCAGTTCTTAAATAATTACTTTATATGACTTAGGAACATGGGTTTTTGTTGATATATTTAATTCTTCCTATATATGGATCTGATGAATGAATTCATAAAGTTATCCTAAATTAAGGTCACAGCATTGGCCATAAAAGATAATATTTCCCTTAAGCTATTAACTGCGACCACAGGAAACAGATTAGTGTGAAAATTTAAAAACCTTCTTTTCTCTAATTATGAGGTTAGCAGTATGCAATACTGAAGACATACTTTAGAACTTCTTCAGTTTAATGAATATTCATTATCATCCTTCTAAATTGTAAACAGAGTAAAACCATGCTGATTTTTCATCTTTTGGAGAATAAAAAGTGAACTTTGACAGTGTCAAGCCAAAATCAGCCTTAATGTTATTTAAAAAATTTCATTATTTTCTTTAAACTATTTATTTCATAAATAGCAGGAAAAGAATAAGATTTTGTTACCAGTTGCTATATTAAAAAAATATTTACGCTTTACTTTTGTAGAGGTACAGTTGATGAAAAACTGACTGTCTTTGTTATTTTCTCTTCAAATTCAGATATTTAACTTTATGACATGTGGAAGACTTACAGTTTGGACTGATTTCTAAGACACTGACCTTACTTTGAGGTGAAGCCATTAGCCTCACTCAGTGAAGAACAAGAATTTTTAATTATGTTATTCCTCTTTCTTTTTTTCCTTTTTTGGTTATTCCTCCTCCCATTCCAACCCTTCCCAGCTGGAAAGAATGCAGTGGGAGAATACCTCTGAATGGGGAAAGAGAGAACGACCTGAAGCAGAAAAACACAGTTTAGAAGAAGAGACTAGAAAACTGAAATTACAGGTAAAATAAATAGAGGGACATCTGGAGATGAAAAAATAAACCAGCAAAAACTAAACTGAGTTGTGATCATAAACACACACAAAATAAGCTGTTGGTTAAAAATAAGGTACGTGTAATACTTTGATTTTCTGGGGAGAACTCGCTCCCAAAATTACTGTTTCACAATGTTCAAATGTGTCCCTAAAACAAGGATTATACAAGACAGAACAACCCATTCTCAGACCTGGAAAATTGGAACTCAGTGACTTGGAACTTCCATAGGGTACAGAAACAGAATTAAATATCTTTTCTTTTCTAAAAGGAGCAGGGAGACATGACAAGTCTAACAAGACCAGGAAACAAAAGTGAAGACTAGGAAGAACAGAAGAGATTAAGTAAACTTTGGTAGCTACAGAGTCCTGATAAAGGTCAAAGCAAAAAAAACCTATTAGACAAAACATTTCTCTGTCTTATTTAACATTGAAATACTTCTTAGGGGAGGGAGAACAGAAGGAACAGTCTTACTGCTTTTTTCCATATTCCTCTAAAGATCTGTTCACTTTTAAACCTTATTGTACTGCTAAAAATGATGTGATAAATTATTCCAAGACTCTTAGCTGAGCATATTTCCTTTATTTTATGCTTTTCTATGCCAATAGCTAAGTAGTAATCCAGAAGACTCCTACTTTCATTAACACTCTGAAAGCTGTGTAAGAGAAAGCAAAAAAAACCAAAAACCACCAACCAATCAGCAAGTGTGCATACGTTCGAGTTGGGCGGTGAGAAACAGTAACATTTTTTTAACTTGCCTAAATAACAAATCATTTAATCTAATTTATGTGCATTTATTGTTGAATAATTGATTCTGAGTAACTAGATTTAGGGTTTAGTTACAATAGATAACTCCTCTTGGGAAAGACTGAGATCTCTACTTGATGTCTGCTTTTAAATGTAATTTTATGATTTTTCTATATTTCTGTGGTGGGTAAGGAACAGCAAATTGAAGTTCATTCATATAGCATACCTTTCTAAAACATCTCACATAGCACCAGGTATGGACTTTTCGTTACTAGTATTTATTTTATCATAACATATCATACATATCAGAAAACATCATAACATACCACATCAGCATTTTCTTGATTTCTGTGTAATGCAAGTTATTTGACGTTGAAGATATGTCCAGAAAGATGTTCACCTGCTAAGGCATGCTACTGTTTCTCAAATATCTTATATGACTGTGCTAGTTTATTTATTTGTTTGTTTTTTTTTAAAAACAGTTGCTTGCATAGACTATTAGACATCCGTGAGCAACTCTATTAGTATCAGCACTATCTGTCAGTATCATACCTCTATATTTGATTTACAAGAAATGCAAAACATGGAATCACAGAATAAGCCGGACTGGAATGGACCTCAGGAGATATTCAGTGCTACTTCCTGCTCCAAGCATGGTCAACTCTGAAGTCAGAATTGGTTACTCATGGTTTTGTCCAGTGAGGTCTCAAAAACCTCCAGGACTGCACAACCTCTCTGGGTATCATGTTTATGATGGGCTGACCCCAGCTGGCAGTTAAGCATCCACCCAGCCCTCATTCACTCTGCAGCAGTGAGGTGCAGGGCAGAATTGGAAGGGCAAAATTGACAAAAAAACTTGTGGATTGAGATAAGGAGAGATTAATAGTTGGTGAAGGGGAGTGAGGAAAAGCAAAAAAAGAAAAAAAAAAGGGATGCAAAAGTAATCACACACCACCAGCAGACTGACTGCCTAGCCAGTCTCTAAGCAACAGTTACTTTGGAAAAACCATAACCCCTCTGTTGTTGCAAGGGACTCTTCTACCCATGGTGAAGGACTTAGTCATTACTCAATTTCAAAAGGTTCCTGTTGGCCCCTCCTTTCAGCTTGGCAACAGAACTTTTTGATCCCGTCTACAGGCAAGGATATTGCCTCTGCCTGCCCAGCCTCAGAGGGAGATAACAAGACCTTTATGCAATTCTCCATTTTGGGCTGAGAAGCATGCCCTGGGATGCATCATCACCAAGGCTGAGTGGTCTTGTAGTCTTCAGTAGTGCTGCCAGCCAGGACATCTTGCCAGGGCCTACCATAGTATCCTAAGCATACTTGCTCACTGTGTCCAGGGCTCCTGGCCTCTAGCTGCAGGGAGATCAAAAAGTATCACCATAAAACAGTTTTCTGTGACACTGAGCACCCATTGACAGCATGAGCAAAACAAAGGTCAAGAGTGTTAGAGGAAAGGACTGTGGTGAACCCTTAATGACAAAATGAACTCTTCACAACTGGAAAAAGTAAGGTAGAAACAGTCTTATGAGGAAACTACTCTAGCAATGAGTTCGTGTCCAAATCAGTCATGGCACTGGGGGCTTGGTCAGTCATATGTGGAGAAGGCAGAGATGTGTAGAGTTAGTTAGCATACTTTTTAAAGTTACTGCTGCTGTTAAATGAAAAATGGGAGTTAAGGAAGGACAGAGTTTCTTTTTCAAGGATTTCAGTATAATTTGTATCTTAGATGGAACCTCTCTATTCCTATGTAGACACATCCTGATATCACCACTGGACCTTTCTAAACTCTGAGACTGTTTCTCTCTAATTTACCCTAATACTGTAAATAACCTGAAAAGAATGGCTTTAACTTCTAATTCAGGAACCTTTTATTTCTGGGATGGTAACCTGAGCCCAAATAAAATATCACATCATATGTAGGGTTAGAAGAGTACAAAAGGATGATTTCTGTAATATGGGTTATGGTTAGGTGTTTAAGTTAGCAAAGATTGAAATTACAGATGCCTAAAGGTCTTTGTCCATACCAATCTCTATGATTATGGTTTTATTTAACAAGTAGACAAAAGAAATATACATAAGGTGTTATAGAATGAATTCCAGAGCAAAACACAGTTACCTAATGTCCTAGCTTTTCCAAAACCTGTATTTGGGAGATTATTTGGGAGATTCATTGTAGTTGCATAGAACAAAATAGTGGTATTAACCTATAAGTGGCTGATTCATACTTGTAGAAGGTATAAGCAAACAATGGCAACATTTTTTTTTTAATAACAGATTTAATAAGATCAAAAACATGGTATCAAAATACAGAAATTAAATCCTTACATCCTTTTCTAAATGATTTCAAGTTGACAATTATCTTGTTCTTTAATATCTATGTCTCCACAGAACACAGAATTTGTGCCATCTCTTGCCATTTATGCAGACTGAAGTTCTGAACCAACAGTATGTTAGTTTTAAATATTTCCAAATGCAGTTTTTGAAGGTTGATTTCAGTTGCACAAGATGAGCTGAATTGATGAAACAATTGTTATTATGCAGTTTTATTGACTGTACTTCTTGGAATGGAAAATACAGTTTGAATTAATAGCTATATTATTTGACAAATAGCATGGTGACAAATATTAAATGGATCTAACTGGTTCATCTAGGAAGGGATAAAATGAAGGAAAAAAGATCCTTGGTGGTGGTACAATTCAATACCCAAAATATGCTGTTTATGGAAAAATACTTTCTATTTCATCTGTGACTGTGACCATTAAACAAACTCATAAATTAATTTTCAGGAATAATAACTGGCTTTTTGTATTATCTCTAATGATTATGGTAAATAGCTAGTTATGAAATACTAGATTAACTGAATATGTTTTGCAGTGGACTTGTGCAGAATGCTGAACTGTGGAGCTTGTAGATGCATAGACTAATTTTTTTTCTAAGTTTAATTTCTAAATTAACTATGATAAGTTTATCTTATAGGCCTCATAGATCTTAAAATGGATTGATGAACAACATGTATTTTTAAGAGTAACCCAATTTATGTTAACATTAACTAGCAAGATATTTTTTAAATCATCAATATTTTAGATTTAAATTTTCAAAAGTAGGAAACAATTTCTTTATGTAAATTATTTGAAAAACTATCTGTGTCTGGTTTACACAGAAAGGTTTTGGTAGCAGGGGTGGCCTCTATGAGAAGAGATTCAGGAGCTGCCCCATGCCAGCCACAACTAGCTCCAACTTGTTCCAAAAGGAACCCACCACTGGCCAAAGCTGAGCCTTTGTGAGAGAAACAGTCCTGCTGACACTGAAGTCAGTGAAGGAGAAGGACGAGGAAGTGCTCTGGGCACCAGATTAGAGATTCCTCCTCAGTCCGTGGTGCAGACCATGGTGAGACAGACTGTCCCCTTGAAGCCCATGGCAGTCCATGGTATAGCAAATAGCCATAGTACAGTCCACGGATGACCTTTTGCTGGAGCAAGTGGACTTGCTCTGAAGGAAGGTGCAGCCTTTGGAAATTATATGCAGGAGGCAGACTCCTGGTAGGAGTTGCAGTCTGTTCCTAAAACACTTTCTGCATGGAAAGGTTCCATTCTTGACCAACTCTTGAAGAACTGTGGCCTGTGGGAAAAACCCATTTGATCATTTGATGGAGGAGTTTTATGCATACTTAATTCCTTTTTTAATGAAACTATGTAGGAAGTTCTGTTTTAGGTATTTACTGTCCTTGTTCCAAGCCCTAAGAGAGGGGATGGGGCTGGAGCATTGACAGTTTTTGAGGTGGTGTTATACTACACGTGGATTAAGGGCCATAGGAGAAGCAAAGTCTAGACTCTTGTGTTTGTGCACGGGCCTCAGCACCTGCTGCTGCCATCTGCTTACCAACCTCTGCTCTGCTGACTTACTGGTGTGAATGGGACAAATGCAAAAGGAGATGGAAACTGCTTCCTTGTCAACAGTGACCACAGTAAACAGTGATCTGCCTATCCACTATCTGAATGCCTGTGGACTGCCAGATGTACTTGAGGAGGCAGCAGAGTGTGGAGTAGGAGTTATATAATTTGCCTGGACGATAAGAAAGGAGTTTGTATAATACGGTCTTATACTAGTTGACACGTGTTTCATTCCTGGTTTTGTGTCACAGATCTCTTGGACTGAGTTTTTAATATATTTTTTACTCTTCATCAGAACAAAGTTCAAGAAAAGATATATTTATGGTATTGTACTTAAACCCTTTGATCTTCATCTAACACTATTCATCCAATGGAGAATTGTATTTATTACAATGTAAACCTCTGGGGCTGGTTGTTGCAATGATAAAGCAGGCTGCACAG